GTAGAGAGATGATGATGAACCGCGAGCCCATTATAGCGAGCCGCAAGCGAAGCTGCTACCACCGGGGCCGTCTAAGAGAACCGAAACTTTGGGGTGGAAAGTGGCAAAACCATTGAGAATATAGAAAGATTTGAGTCTCTGGGGAGAGAGGAATTGGCCTGGGAGCGCCTACACCCGTTGAAACGCGGTGTTTTTTTCTGGAAGACTTTGCTGTTTTTCCTGCACTTTTCTGTTGCGTGTAGTCACTTTAAGATGTTTCTTGTTCATGTTTTTGTTTTGTTGCGGTTGCACCCGAGTCAAGAGGCCGCGTGGCTCACAGCGTTATACCTAATAAATGAAAAAATGGAACTGAAAAAATTAACCCGTAAAAACAAAGTCTTTCACTATAAATCCTTTATATGTGTGGCGGCTAGAGTCCTCTCGTCCTCTGGCTTAAGATGGCTGCCACCTATGGGTCAGATAATTGCCTGCCACCATTAAGCAATTGGTAATTAAATATAATAATTTTTTTTCCTAAAAAGTGTAAAGTTATTCTTTGGTTCTTTAGGTAAAGTCACGTATAAAGATAAAATATACGTGACTTTACCGAAAGAACCAAATAATAATTCCTGCAGTCACGAAAGCTCCAAATTAAGTTTGAAGTGTAAAGTTATGGAATTTTTTTCACGAAAATAAATTGTCACGCACAACGAGTCTGTGTGCAAAATGTCAGCTCGATTGGATCACGGGAAGTGGGTTAAAAAACGACCGAAAGATTTGCACGGTCGTAAGCGCGCAAGCAAGCAAGTGAACTTAATATAAAGGATTTAAAAAAACCCACGCGGAGGACCATCACCACCACCCCCTCCTCCTCCTCCTGCCCGCTGCAAGTCCCCGGGACGTGTCCCTGCCTGTCGCTGTCGTTCTCGGCCTCTTCACGACGAGGGCTCTTGCAGGTCACTGGAGCGTGGCCTCAGCCCACGCAAAGACAAAGATCCCTCCCCCACCCCACCTCCCTCCTCCATGTAGCCCTGCAGCGAAGTGTCGGGGCAAGTGCTGCTGTTAGCGAGCTGTGGTGGTGGTGTGTGTGTCTGTGTGTGTGTGTTTGTGAGCCTTCGACACTTGGTGATTTCGAAAACATGGTTAATCTAAATCTACACCAATGGAGACTAGGCTCTAAGAAAATATGTTTCGGGTGTGGATCAATCAACTTCAAGGACAGTGCATATTATCATCATCAGAGTTGTTTCTTTTTGTTTGCATTTTGACTGCTTGTGTTGTGGTTATTTCAAACACGATGCCTTGTGTAAAGCTGTCAGTTTTTTGTACCAGTTGAAAGGGTAAAAACCTATTACTATAATCTAAATTGTCTTATGGTTGTTATTGTTTGACTTGCATCACACTGGGATTTTTGCACACAGCGTTGTAATACGGTGGGTTTTTTTTTTGGGAAGATTCGCTGGTTTATCCAGGATGTTTCTGTTGCGCGTCGTCGCTTTAAGATATTTTCCGTTCATATTTAGTTTGTTGCGGTTGCACCCGACTCAAGAGCCGCATGGCTCACAGGGCTCTACCGAATAAATGAAACTTGAAACTTCACCTGGCCTGGCGCAGCCGCCGTGGTCACGCCATCGCCACCTAGTGGCGAATGGCGCGGATTGGTTATTAGTGTGGGTTAGAGGGAGTGTGTGAGTGGGGAGCGGTGGTGTAGTGGTGAGCGCAGCTGCGCTATGAACCCGAAGTTCGATTCCCGCTCACGGCACAACACCAGTGACGATTTATCTGAACCGGCCGTGGGCACCCCCTAGGTCGACTCAGCATAAAAATGCGTACCTTGGTACGGTGTGTAAACTTCGCCAGTGGGGAGACAAAAGCGGCCGGGCGTGGTGCTGGCCACCCACCCCCTCGTGTGCCGTGCCGGCCTTCATAGGTGCTACTCGCTAACAGAATGTGCCCCTACAGTCTGTTACAGGCTACACGGGGTGGTCTTTGGAGGCTGTTGTTGGTTTACTGTTGGCACGCGGGCTCCCCGGGGCTAATGACGCGGTCAGCACCGAACCCCACGGGTTGCCGAATGCGGTTTGCGTTGACAAAGCCGACACCCTCCTTGCACCCACCCAACTGCCCTGCTACCAGCCACCCACCTACCCAGCCACTCACCTACCCAGCCACTCACCTACCCTGCCAGGCTGCCACTCACCTTCCCTGCTACCCAGCCACTCACCTACCCTCCTACCCAGCCACTCACCTACCCTGCTACCAACCACTCACCTACCCTCCTACCAACCACTCACCTACCCTGCTACCAACCACCCACCTACCCAGCCACCCACCTACTCAGCCACCCACCTACCCTGCAACCAACCACCCAACTGCCCTACCAGCCACCCACCTACCCAGCCACTCACCTACCCAGCCACCTTCCTACCCAGCCACTCACCTACCCTGCTACCATCCACTCAACTGCCCTGCTACCAGCCACCCACCTATCCAGCCACTCACCTACCCTGCTACCAGCCAATCGTCGGCCCTTATTTTTATTTTCTCATTTTGGTTTGTTCCTAAAACCGCCACGAGGGGGCACGGCGAGAGCACGTGTTCACCAAGGTGCACGCGTGCTCACCGAGGCCGTAATTATAATATATATTCAAATATGCTCAAAATATCCCCCCCAATATATTGCTATTAAAAAAACAATTGCTCTGCTATGTAAATAAAAATAACAAATTGCTAAACCTTGGCCACACTATCTGGACTTGTCTTCATATAAATCAATGCATACATTTCTCTTCTTGGTTCTTTCGGTAAAGTCACGTAGAAGGGAAGTAATAAAATAATAAAAATAAAACATAATAAAACAATTCTCACGACGTTTCGGCCACAACGCAAGCAGCCGTCCTCAGGTGAAAACCAGGTCCGTCGAGGCGACAGAGTCTGAATGAAACAGCACACGGGCTTAGAGCATATATATAAGCCCGTGTGCTGTTTCATTCAGACTCTGTCGCCTCGACGGACCTGGTTTTCACCTGAGGACGGCTGCTTGCGTTGTGGCCGAAACGTCGTGAGAATTGTTTTATTATGTTTTATTTTCATTATTTTATTACTTCCCTTCTACGTGACTTTACCGAAAGAACCAAGAAGATGAATCCCTGCAGTCACGAAAGCTTTAAATCGAAAAAAAAGCATACATTTCTGTTTATATGATTATGGTTATGGTAGTACTTTATTAATCCCTAATCTCTGCCATTACATACAATGCATCAATACATGTAAAAAAAAATTAAAAACAGAGCAATGTAATACAATACACTATTAGACATCGTAAAAAATGAATAAAAAGTCCATCCCATGTGTTAGTGAATTTTTTTATATTTTAGGCAGGAAATTAGTTATCACATTTAGATATTTTTCTGGGTTGGGACCCCCAGACACTCTGGAAGATTTGCCCCCCCCCCAATGTTGACTCCATGGCTACGGCCTTGGTCTTCACGATGCTGTCGCGAGCGCTGTCCCGGGTCCTCCGGGAACCAGAGGGGGGAGGGAGTGTGACGTCTGGTCAGCGTGGAACAGTAGGCCGATTAACCCACTAGAGGGAGTTCTAGAGGGTGGCGTGAGCAGCGCAATTGCGACGTCACTATAAGTGCTGACTCCCATAATGCACTGTGCTCACGATGTAATTGAAGTGCCTGTTCCCACAGTGCACCTTGCTCACGATGCAACTGAAGTGCTTGGTCCCATAATGCACCGTGCTCACGATATAATTGAAGTGCCTGTTCCCACAATGCACCTTGCTCATAACGTAGCTGTCTTGTGAAGTTTGACAGCCACACAATGACATCGCCAGTGTGTATTATGTCGTCACTCCTGAACGTGACTAAATGATTTTTGTTTTATTAACTAAGCCTAAAACTCGTGTCTGATCGCCCCAGACACGCAGTCCAGATGTTTCGACAAAATAATAATTATTTATTTAAAAAAATACTTTTAATATTGCAATACACTGGATTAAAATCCGGCTACATCTCGTTTTACGTGGTGGTTTTGTTCTTGAAAAAACGGCGCGTAACTCAAAATCGCGTAAATGAAACGCATTTTTTTCCATAAGAAATAAAGGTAATGGTTGGGGTTAGAGACAGGACGCTATCGAACCTCATTCTTTTAATTCTACATATTACATATGTCACTGGTTACAGTAACATATTATATTTACAATACTACCATAATACTACCATTAACAAAAAAGTGTTTTTTTTTAACACGTAATGAGATGCTTACCGTACATATTAATAGGCAAATGAGTTCACAAGACACAGTTCACGTGGACAAGATCTTCCAAATGGCACGCGAGGAGCTGACTGATGGTGCTGTCCGCGAACACGCATTGAACGCGAAGCGACTGCGCAGAGATTATTCCATAATAATGCTTTTCCTACGCATTCTTGGACTAGATCTGTTGGCCAATGTCCAATAACACAAATGGCAAATTGAGTGGTCAGTGTGGTCCTGACCCCATGTAGAATAACTCAGACTTAAATAAGTACATAGAGGGTTGAGATGTGGTCTTGGCCACAACATCCACCCTCCTCGTACTGTCGGCCTTAATAGGTGCTCCCTAACAACACTCGTGGCAAGAGCCTTTGAAGTGAAACAGAGAGTGTGGCTGTGTGTGTTTATATACGCGTTGTCTAGTCTCCCTCTCTGGCCTCTCGAGCTACGTGCTGTGAAGAAGGGCCGTTGCCCGAAACGTCGCCTCTTGTATACTTTTCCTTTGTAATGCCACGCGGAGTTGTTGTTGAGTGTCGTTGCAGAATCATCACAAAACAATGTGTTTATATACAGGATATATCTACTTTCGAGTACAGTAACGCGTATGGATCTGCTAATGATTTTAAGAGTATACCGATGTCCGCATTTTGACGCTCATTTATTTTCCTCTCCAAACTAGCATTTGTACAAATTTCCCAGAGTCATTCAATGCCATTGCCTGATGTTACCTCCCCTCCCCATTTCCACAATGGTAGCATCTGCAAGCGGCTGGCAGCAGACAAGGCAATGGGAGCTACCACAGCCATCAGGGGGGGGTCTCTGGAGCAGATTGTGGAGTGTGACGGAGACGACGACGGCGAGGTGTTCGTGTCGCCTCGGTCTGGCCAGAGCCCCAGCATGGACGTCCGCTTCCCAGGTGTGGCTCCCTCACGGCCCTGACGGCATTGACGGCCCTGACGGTCCTACACACGCCTGCAAACACTTGGCAGGACCCTCCTGAGACTCGGTAATCAACCCTAATTAACAATAATAATTATATTTCGATTTAAAGCTTTCGTGACTGCAGGGATTCATCTTCTTGGTTCTTTCGGTAAAGTCACGTAGAAGGGAAATAATAAAATAATAAAAATAAAACATAATAAAATACAATTCTCACAACGTTTTGGCCACAACGCAAGCAGCCGTCCTCAGGTGAAGAACAAGTCTGTCGGAAAGACAGCGTCTGAATGAACACCACCAAGCTTGAACACCACCAAGCTTGGCAGCGTCTATTTAAGCTGGGTTAGGGGATAATTATGCTGATATTAATGTCGTTCTAAACCTTCGCTTTGCAGTGGGAGAGGTGCCAGAGGAAGGTGCCGACGTGACGAGCGCTGGGGCTGAGAGGAGCGGGGATGACTACGAGGAGGACGAGGAGGAGGAGGAGGAGAGGGGCGAGGGGCTCGGGAAGGAATGCTGCCGACCGGTGCGTTGTGTGTGAGCACGGCTGAGGCTCGAACAGACTGTGCTGTTCGCCAGTACCTATTAAGGGGCCGTCCATAAATGATGTCACGCACCTAGGGGGCGGGGGGGGGGGTCAGACATTTGTGACGATGTGTGACGAGGGGGGGGGGGGTTTGAGAAATGTGACGTCACATTAAAATGCGCTACTTTAAATAAATATAGACAACACGTTCTGCTTAAATAGATTTTTGAATAAATATTTTCTCCTACAACATCAGAGTGCATTGCCACATTAAATACGCACTACAATGACAATAGTTTAAAGCGATTTGAAGCATGTTTCATTTTTTTGGGGGGGGGAGGGGCAGAGCTTTGTGACGTCATATTTGAGGGGGGGGGGGTCTGACTCTTTGTGACGCCGTGTGACTAGGGCGGGGGGGGGGCGGTCAAAAATCGTCCAAAATCGCGTGACGTCATTAATGGACGGCCCCAAAGCACATCAGTGGCAAGTTATATATCAGCACCGGCCTTGTGTCTCCCTTCGGTCGACTCAGTGTGTGAACATCAACACTGAGGGGTACGACAGCGCCGCCGTGCGGCCGTGCCGCTTGCCGGACCACCCTCTCGGCCTGCGTGGGCCACACGTGGTGTGAGGGCTCCTGTTTGTGGCCTCGCCGTGTCTGTGGGTGCCCGTTGCCGGAGACCTACAACAAACGCCGTGACCTGTCCCCTGCGAGGATGTTGTGGCGTGCAGAGCCGCGTCTCGTGGGGGCGGGGGAGGGGGGTTGGGCGAATCTGAGTGACCGCCCCGGGCCCCGCGCTTTGGGGGGTTGGGAGGGCCGCGGCTACGCTTTGACGTCACGCTGTCAGATGTAATAGTTCCGGTTTAGTGAGGTTTGCTCCGGGCTCTCGCACCCCCAAGGACAGCCCTGTCGGCGTGAGCGTCTGCGTCAGTGCCGGATTAAGCCGATGCGGGGCCTGTAGCATATGTTATAAAGGGGCCCTAACAAAAAAAAACCACATACATCTTAAAATACAAACGTTTAACTTGCACAGCAAGGTAATTGTATTTTTTCATTTGCTATACAAGCAGATAATACGACGCATCGCTAACCTTAAACACCCAGTCGTTCATAAAAGTTGAAGGCGGTATAGTACTATAGTAATATAGCAAGTGCAGATTCAGTGAACCGGAATTGATAGCTTGAAAGAATTTAGCAAAGGGCCCTTGAAAGTGCGGGGCCCGTAGCTACTACACATGTAGTAGTAGCTACTACATGTGTAGTAGCTACTACTACATGTGTAGTAGCTACTACACATGTAGTAGTAGCTACTACACATGTAGTAGCTCCTACACATGTAGTAGCTCCTACACATATAGTAGCTCCTACACATGTAGTAGCTCAGTAGCTCCTACACATGTAGCTACTGCACATGTAGTAGCTCCTACACATGTAGTAGCTCCTACACATGTAGTAGCTCCTACACATGTAGTAGCTCCTACACATGTAGCTACTCTTGCTACTAGGATAATCCGGCACTGGTCTGCGTGCGCACGCGGCACGGGGCTGCTGCTCGCGTGCTCATTAAAGCGCCCGCGCTTTGAAGGCGACCGGTGCGTGTCGCGTTTTACCCTCCTTGCCAAATGACGTTGAGCCCGAGGCAGGAGTGCAGGGCGCGGCGTCGCCCACCCCACCCCACTGCCCCATTTCCCGGCTCGGCTAGACTGCGCTCACGCGCCGGATGACTTCGCATCTCTGGCGAGCGCTGGGCCGTTCAACAGATAGCAAGGCGAGAACATTGCAGAGAGAGAGAGAGATATACAGGAACTCCTCTACTTACGAACGAGTTAGGTTCCAGAGGTCTGTTCGCAAGTCGATTTGTTCGTAAGTCCAACTTTACTCCTGTTGATTCCAAACACCTTTTATGGCATGTACACTAAACACGGGGAATGGTTTTAAAAGTTGTATAATCTCCTGTAGACGTAGATGCAACTGGTTCTTCATGTTCTGCAGATGTAGATGCCACTGGTTCTTCATGTTCTGGAGATGTAGATGCCACTGGTTCTTCATGTTCTGCAGATGTATATGCCACTGGTTCTTTACGTTCTGCAGATGTAGATGCCACCGGTTCTTCATGTTCTGCAGATGTATATGCCACTGGTTCTTCACGTTCTGGAGATGTAGATGCCACTGGTTCTTCACGTTCTGCAGATGTAGATGCCACTGGTTCTTCACGTTCTGCAGATGTAGATGCCACCGGTTCTTCATGTTCTGCAGATGTATATGCCACTGGTTCTTCACGTTCTGGAGATGTAGATGCCACTGGTTCTTCACGTTCTGCAGATGTAGATGCCACCACCGCCATCTATTGCGCGGCGGTTGAACGTACGACTCTCGGGCCCAACAAGCAACTGGACACACGGACCAGGTTTGTTTGTATCTCTGAAAGTTCGTAAGTAGAGGAGTCTCTGCCTAACCAAGGGTTGGTGAACTGCGGGTCGCTTGGCAGTGGAGAGAGAATGGTCGTTAACGATGAATGGCGTTTGTTCTGCGGCTGCCTCCATGTTTGGTGCTTAGGGATGGTGGCATGGTTCGGTTTAGCGGGGCGAGCGGCTCGCAAGTCGGAACGTGCGAGTTCAAATCCTGGCTGGAGGGCTTCACTCAGTCCCTAATCCGTCATTACAATTAGTACCCACTTTTTCAGGAGGTCAACAAGTGGAATCTACACGCTGGCTCAGTGCTATAAATAGATAATTTGAGCAGCGAATCGCTTTGAGTAGTGGCGCAGCAGTTAGCTTACCGCAAACTGCAATATGAGCCCGGCGATGTGAGTTAAATTCCTGGTCACGGCTAACGCCGGTGGCGAGCGATATGTGAACCGCTCCTGGCACCCCCACCAGCCCGACAACCCCCCGCAAGGCTGACACGACACTGGGCGAGGACGTTCATCCAGCAGCGGATTACCAAACGTTTGTAAATCATTAAAAAAACCTATTATTTTAGTTACCAAGCTGACTTAGTAGAGCAGGGGATATACAGTATTTACTCTCGCCAGCAAATGACCGGGCATTGCCTCGGCTGCCCAGAGACTGTCGTCACGCCAGCCGTGCCGCTGCATTATTGATGGAGCGAGAGCTGCGCGCTGCTCGCGATTTCGAAATGAAACAGAGCCGGCCACGGGTTAGCGGCGGTTTGACAAAAACACCACACCGAAGTGCTCGCCCGTTAGACGGAGCTCCACTTTTGGTGCGCGTTGCCATTGTTGTCGGTATTAAGAGTGGGCGTTCGGGTCGGTGATCCTGTGATTAGCGATCACCGTTTGGTTATTACGCACGAGATTAGCCATCTCTGTTACACGCGCGCACGAGCACACACACGCGCGCACGAGCACACACACGCGCGCACGAGCACACACACGCGCGCACGAGCACACACACGCGCGCACGAGCACACACACGCGCGCACGAGCACACACACGCGCGCACGAGCACACACACGCGCGCACGAGCACACACACGCGCGCACGAGCACACACACGCGCGCACGAGCACACACACGCGCGCACGAGCACACACACGCGCGCACGAGCACACACACGCGCGCACGAGCACACACACGCGCGCACGAGCACACACACGCGCGCACGAGCACACACACGCGCGCACGAGCACACACACGCGCGCACGAGCACACACACGTGCGCGCAGCTTCCACCTAGAATCGTGGGCCCTGTGAGGAATGCCAGAAGTTGAAAGATGTTGCATGGGAATGTTTGAATGTCATTCGAGACGTCGCAGACTGCTCCGTTCTTTGAGCCATTTTACCAGAAATTGTACGCAGGTCGGTAAAATAAAGTTGCCCCCCCCCCCCAGTTAAAAAAATTTCAACGGAGAGAGACAGGTCCTGAGCCTCGGCTCACAGCGGTGGATCTGCACCGATCCCCCGTGGGAGTAGAAGACGCCGTGGCTAGGGGGGCGTTTGCGTGGCGGGGTTACAATGTGACCCCAGGCGCTTGTGCAGCAGTGGAAGCGGCTGTCAAGCCGGTTTAGAGGCGAGAGCTCGAAGTAGCTCAATGCGCTTGATTTGGGGGGAGGGGGATAAACTCGCACTGCCCGTGCTTTCGCGTGGGACTCACGGTCGGGGGGTGATGGGTGGGGGGCTTGACGGTCAGCACTAAGCAGGGACCCCCGGCTCAACGCTGTGGGATGCGGGCGACGTCATCGCATCACCGGTCCCGTCTGTGAGCCTTTCATCCCGTCCAGCCGACTTCCTCCTCGCACTCCGTCCACTGTTGTGTCCCCGACCTGCGTGCACCTCTCCCCACCTCTCCACCCGTCGCTGCATCAATCTCCTTTGTCGGCGGGTTTCACGTTTCTGATCCGTAAGCAGGCACCGTGCGCAGGTGAGAGCCCGGTTGTTGAATTGGCAGTGGAGGTGCTGGGGAACGGGTGGTGTGCAAGGCTTGCCACTGATGTTAGCCGTGGCTAGGAATCCAACCTCGGGTCGCCGGGTTGGTGGTGTGGCGCACTAACCACTAAATCACTTCCCCCCCTCCCCCCATTATTGCATTTGACTAAATCTAAAAAGACAACGCAGACAGCGATAATCACCGAACACAACAACAGCCGCCACGAACCGTCGGTGGCATCACCACAGCGCTAGTGCCAGGCTAGGTGCACTTTGAGGCCGTCGCGTGGAGCGTCAGAAGGCTCGTTGCTGGCACGTCACGCATCACTCTCCCGCTGCCCTATTACCTCCACCTTGCAATCTTTTTTATGTTCTCATTCATTAACTCCCCGGCTGCCCCCCCCCCCCACTAACCCCTACCATCCGGAGCCACTTCTTGAGTTTACCAATTTCCTCGCCCCTTGATTAAGGAAACTCACAAACATTCGTCTCCCCACTGATGTCCAGTCTCCGTGTCCATCAGACCCTATGCCCTGCCGAACGATCGATGGCAATCCTGATCTCTTTAGGCGGACCAGCTACCCGGGGACTTGCTATCGGTCACTTACACATG